AAGCGGGAGGGAAGCCGCTCCCCGTGCCCCCTGCTGGAGCGGAGGAGGAACTGAACCTCCGCCCGCCGCAGCCCCGCGCAGCCCGCCCCGCCCCCTCTACGCATCGAATCAGGGACTCAAGGCGCTGCAAGGGCGGGACGCCTCCTGCCAACCTCCTCCTCCGGTTTCTCACTCGCGTTTGATTACTAAGCAGGAGCCGCACCCCCGAGAAAAGGGACTTGGCCAAGGTCACACTGCCGGTGCGTGAGAAAGAATCCAAATGCCCTGGTTCCCAGCACACTCGATCACCCTGTCCCAATTCAACAGTATTTATTTAGCTCCTGCACTGTGTATGCCGAGCACTGTGCAATGAACTGTAGAGGAAATAGCCAAGTAGAAAAAATAGTCCCTGCCTCACCCATGATCACCTAACTGAAGAACCCTATGCTACCGCCACCAGGCTGCTCAGAGCTGCTGGACACGTAGTGGTCTGTTGTGCTCCATGCTTTCGCTCACATTATGCATTCTGCTTGAAATGCCCTGCCATTTCAACCCCGCTAATTCTTATAGCCCTGGCTCAAACGTTACTTCCTCTGTGAAGCCTTCCCTGTCTCCCAAAGGAGACTCAGGCACTCCTGCTAATACCCCCCGTAGGAAATACGTTATGGAGCTTAATTTACTCATCTTAAATCAACTTGCTAGGTGTCACATACTATTCTTTCCTCTTATCACCTCTCTTTTTCCGTACTTTAGACGAGTGGTTCTAGATTTGGGACGTGTACACCTTTTTTTTTTTTTAATATTCGGAGGAAAACCCTACATTGCCGATTTCTTGTTTTGCCAAATGTAGACAATTTTTTTTTTTTTTTAAGATGAACGATAAGGGGATCTCAACCCTTGGCTGAGTGTGTGAGCACCACGCTCAGCCAGTGAGCTAACCAGCCATCCCTATGTAGGATCCGAACCTGTGGCCTTGGTGTTATCAGCACCGTACTCTCCCAAGTAAGCCACAGGCCGGCCTTGAAGACAAATTTTAAAAACTTCCTACTACTATTTTATAAAAGGAAACACATTTTCATATAAAATACTAACTGCATAATCTCTCAATAAAAGCAATTCTTTGCATTAAATATATTTAGCTTTATGGAAAAAAAAATTTGATCCTTGAGGGATCATTACTTTGATTCTTGAGGGAAGCATAGAACTGAAATAGGTGGAAAGGTGAAAGGAGGAAAAGCGGAAAGAGGGCAGGAGAAGTGGGGAGTTGTCACACGAGCCCCACTCAATATTAAATTCTATACCTTGCCCTACCAATGCAGTTTACAATGAAAATAACTCCTCAACCATACCTTTAAAATGTTCATATTGTCTTGCTTCAGTTACTTGGTTACCTGACTGTTGAGTATGCCTGTTTTCTTCCATTCAGATTTGCAAGAAGGTACATTGCCTTGTGAATGTGGCTTTCCAAATCAATCATTCATTAATATCTAACGAGGCTGACCAATTTAAAATTTGTGGAAGTGAGGGTGATGATGGTTTGACCTGTGGTCCCCAATGCACTCACCAATCTTCAGGGGTATGAGGCTAGTGAGGCTGATTTGGCCAACCAGGGCTTAGTCCCCACAAACAAGAAATTTGATTGTCCAAGTGAAACATGAGTCAAGTGCTGCATGATAATGTAGGTGCTCAGGTAGCCCCAGAAACTGTTAATATGAAGTTAACAAAATTGTCTAATTTAAACATATATACGCTTTACACACAGTATAAGAAATGGGTGTTTTAAAACTCGAATCTAATGACATAGTCTGTGAATTTTCTACAAGTATGTTTTACTTTTGGGTTTAATTTTAAGCATATTCTGGAGTATTTGGATGACCACATGATAACTAACTGCTGCCATATAATTAGGACATGTATTTGAGTCTGTTTTTACAATCAGGTTGGCACAAGGCATTACTACAATTGTCATGAGCTAGTGAGAAAATACATGAGGTGAACTTTATACTTCATGGCTTGCTATTCAAATGAACATTTGCAGTACTTTGAAAAGAGGCAAGTGATGGGAAAGTAGAGACCTCACAAGACACACTTACAAGCATACTGAAGGCCAAGAACATATGCAGGCCAGTCAGTAGTAGTAAGTTCACATTTCAAAGGGCAGTTTTGTTTCAGCAAATACCATGTACCACATTAACTTAAAAAAAAAATGTGCACAATTTTCAAATTTACTTTGGTGTTAAATTTGTGTAAGAGCTTTATGAACATGCAGAGTTTATATTTAGTTTTATGTTTGCTTACATTTAAGAAATATTATTATAAAAAGAATTTACACAAATGCTTGGGTCTGAGAGAATGTTTTCCTTTAAATTAGATCCCTCCATATACAAGTATTTCTCAGTTGAGAAACATGGATATGGATACTGACAGCAGTACATAGAGTATGTGCACTGTGTGTGTAATGTTTACTCAAATTTGGTAGTAATGTTAAATATGGTGGTAATACATCTTTACCAAGTTCTTAATCATCAGGATTTGATGACTGCCTTCTCACCCCACTTCAGTATGCTTTGTTTGTCCCTTGGGTGTACCTCGTCTGAATAGATTTAGCCAATTCATCCCTCCCTTCCATTCTCCACCAAGATCTTTTTTAATATCTGTTTCTCTGAAAATGTGGATATAGCAGTCCCTGTCTTCTCTGAAGTTCTGGGCCTGAACGGAAACCCTGGGGTAATCTGCCATAAAGTCTTCAGATACATAATTCACCTGCCTGACAGCTGATGGGCTTCAGGAGGGCCGTGTAGAGACTGAATGTTATTGAAAATTGTGAACCAACCTTTATCATTTTGTTTACTATTGGATAGAAATATATTGGACTTGACCCAAAGATCTGTAATCTAACACTTGTAATTTTGTGTGTGTGTGTGTGTGTGTAACTGATGAATGCAAAGAGTGAGTGTGTGTGTTTCGAGCTTTCTGTTCTGTTGACCTATTTGTCTATTCTTTCACTGGTACCTCACTGTCTTGATTACTGTAGCCTTATGGTATGTCTTGAAATCAAGTAGTATCAGTCCACTGACTTTGTTCTTCTGCTTCAATTTTGTGTTGGTTATTCTGGGTCTTTTGCCTCTCCATATAAACTTTAGAATCGCTTTGTTAATACCCACAGAATGACTTGCTGGGATTTTTGATTGAGATTGCACTGAATCTATAGATCAAGTTGGGAAGAACTGACATCTTGACAATATTGAGTTTTCCTATCCGTGAACATGGAATATCTGTACATGTACTTAGTTCTTTGAATTCTTTTGTTAGAGATTTGTAGTTTTCCTCATATAGATCTTGAACATATTTTTTCAGATTTATACCTAAGTATTTCATTTTTGGGGGGTGCTAATGTATCGCAATATAATAATATATTATGTTTTTAATTTTAAATTCCACTTATTCATTGCTGGTATGTAGGAAAGCAATTGACCTTTGTATATTAACTTTCTATACTGAGAAAGTTCTTGTAACGAGCAATCAAACTATTTGCTTGGGCAGGACAGTCCTGGAAAATAAAGAAAGGCTAATAAAGACATTGGAATAGCAGAGTAATATTAATATAGACAGTAAAGTGTTCTGAGTCCAGGTTGAGTGTGGGGCTAGACAGTGTTGGTCCTAAGTCCCTCCTGTGGTCATTCGTTTGCCTAAGCTGAAGGATAGACCATTAATATCTGAGGGTGTGATCATTCCAGATCTTCACTGTTGTTTGAGGTGTCACAAGCTTTTGTCAAGTTTCCATTTATGGTTGTTTCAACCTCTAAGTTTCCAGTGGTGGTGGTTTAAATCTTTATGAGTGTCAGGTTTTGTTGCTCTTTCTGCTGTATGGCCATTTGTTAGATCATTTGACAGGATGGCGGCTGCAATGGAGATTACACATCTAAAACTGCAGAACA